CATGGTTTTGCCGATTTTAGTATCACGTATTGCCAGCTCGAGGTCAATAATTTTCTGTTATGTTGTACACTTTATTTAATCTGATGCACAAATGCATTCATAAGTTTTTTAAAGCTTAATATCAATGCAGAATTGTCATTTTGATAACTTGAGTTGGGTTGCCTTATATACATGGAGCATCTTTGTGAGCAATGCTTGTTGACAAATTAGCAGTTTGGATATAACTTATCATTCTAGTCATCTTAGATTCTTAGATCAGGTGTTGGAACATATGGGTGTTACAGGCTTGAGATCCTAATTGCTGTTATAACTTATAAGTATGATGTTTCTTAAAAAATGTGAAATTTAGTTTGTTAGGTGGAGTTTGAGCGTGTAAAGTTTTGAACATGGTGGTGCACAAGTAGATGGAAGATGCATTGAGTAGCTTAACTGCTAAAAGAAGAAGAAAACTCTAAGGGGCCTAAGTTCTCTATTATGTACTTTAATAATTTGTTATTTTGTTTAGTTCGATGTTTTTTTTTTTTTTTGGGATAAAATGTGAAAATTGTATTTATCCATGAAACTATCTGTGCAAGAAGTTTATCAGCAACTACAAGTTGCCGCTACAATGAATAAGACTCAATATGTTATGGTTCTATGCAACAGTCTCAAATTGTTTAATTCGATATTGAAAGCTCTATCCTGTTGGATCAAGTTATATATTGTAGTACTTTCTATCATTTTTAATCCATGAAACACATAAAATCGTAATAGAATCTTGATGCAATCTATGCCTTGAAGTGCTTCAGGAAAATATATATTTGTATTAACTTGTAGATGAGTTAATTGATAAAATTTTTTCGTGCGTCCCTATAACTTGTTTGAGCAACCGTGATGAATTGCTAAAGCTGATTGCTTGATGGCTTTCTTGCAGCAACGGCCTCATCATCCTGTTCGCCCAATTCCTTCACAGCTCTGGTGCAAGAATTTTGGAAACAAAGACTACTAGTATCAGTATTGGTTGAATTGAAGGGTAATATCTCTTTCTGACAAAGGAAACCCCGTATCCTGCACTTGAAAAACCCATGGAATATATATAAAGAAAAGCAAAGCTTCCATGAGCTACAATTTCATTGCATTTACAGGCAGATGACTGTAGCTATGAAAAGCTAAGGTCTACCTCGAACTCGTTTTATCTTACGTTTTTTTTTTTTTGAATAAAAATACTACATACTAACCTTGTTGAACCAAGGATCGTGAAGAATATTAGCACCACGCTTGTGTATAATACACGCACCAGGAACCGCAGTCGAGAAAAGCCTCAACCGGCGGCGGAAGCTCGACGCCGCAAATCGCGCCAGATTCCTCCACATTACGTGCCCTAGAACTCAGGATCCAAAGTAACTGGAAAA